ATGAACTCCCTCAGTATCCTGTCCCTCTTCATACCCACAAGTTAAACTCTATCTATGTGCATCCATGGCTCTTTCTTTCCACTTTTAGAGAATGAGCTTGTCCTCCTAACCCCATATTCTGGATCCCACACACTCTGTTCTTCTCCAAATCTACTTTTAGTAATTCATTCTTCCTCTCCTCCTAACCCATTCCCCATATCTTCAACTTCTCTCTTTCTTCGAGGTCATTCCCTTTTCTTTCCTGAGGTGATGATGTCTCTCTCATGCTAATATCTGTTGGGAACCGTCCTGTCTGGTTTCAGGAACTGCAGCCTTGCCGACAGGTGAGAGGGCCCCAAGGCTAGAGCTAAGCAAGGAGGCTTTTGGAAAATAGGCCACTGAGGAGCCAAAACCTGCCCCCTGTGCCCCTGCCTCCTTTACATCACCCTGCTTGGCCCCAAAGGATGTCTGGCTAGTCAATGACAGATAAGACCCCTTGATGGCAGGGGCAACCTAAGACAGGCACAGTCGCATAGGGGCCATCAGGGAAGGACTCGGGGAACATGAAGAAAGGGCAAAAGACTCTCACCCCTCAGCTTTGATATGGCCAGAGTCCTCATTCTATCTGAAATAAGTCTCCTTATCTCTTGGCGGCTCTGCTCCACCAACCTGGCTCAGGCTTAAAACAATACTGGAAGCAGCCCTAAATTGGATCAGGTGGTTCCTGGGGGAAATCGGGCCTAGAAGTAAATTACTTCTAGCATGCTTTGTTTTTCCCTCAAAAGCTGTGATGGCTGGCTCATGCTGGGAAGAAAATTTACATCACTCACAGACCCTGACCCTAAACCATTTGGCACTTTTATGTTTATGTTCTTATGTATACTCGTCTCATCTTGGACCCATGTAAATCGGTGTGTTCATGCCATTTGTTTTCTTCAAAACATCATCTATTCTCTGTAAACATTAACATACTGATGTAATGAGATCACCTGTACATTCTTACTACCTAGCCCCCATTGATAACCTTTTCAATAAGAGCCATTGGACACAGGGGCATGGGGCCTTCTCCACTAGAGGGAATCGCTACCCCTCTTCTCCTGGCAGACTGAGAAAAGTGTATGGGACATCTTATTTTTATTTTCCCATCCATGATGACCCGGAGCAGTTCTACAGGACTGGAGCCTGCCTCCACCTCAGCTGGGACCCAAACAGGGATCTTCAGGGCCTGGATCCACCTCAATATCAAAAACAAAAACAAAAACCCTCTCCCTTCCTTTGTTTGGTCATTCTACAAGTATTGACTGAGCATTGTCTGTGTGCCATACACTCTGCAATTTGATGGGTTGCAGTAGTGAAGAAGACAAAGTTCCTGTCCTGAAGAAGCTAAGAGTCTGGAGGACGAAGCAGAAAAACAGGCATTGGCAGTCTGGTCAAGGGCTGCAATAAGGGTACGGACAAAGTGCCATGACACATACAGGAGGTTCACCGGTTGGGGATGGGAAGTTCATAGAAATTTCAGGAGTAGTGGTGTCTGCCAAATGTCCCTTTTCTCTTCTTCCACTCTCAGGGAAGCTCCCTGAAAGTGCAGCCTTTGTTTGTCTTCCTTTCCCCACTTTTCATCCACTCCTAAAAACCTCTGTGATACAGCTTCCACTCCTGTCACTCTGTTATCCTCAATGCCCAGCTTCAGTGGGGTCCCCAGTGGCCCATGTGCCATCAAATCCAGCCATCAAATATTAAGTCCTCCCCCACTTATTGGCTCACCTATGATGAACACTGTTGCTACAGACTCCTCCTGGAAACTCCCTACTCTCCTGGCTACCATAATATTATTCTCTTCTCTGATCATTTTGTACCTCCTACCTCTTGATCATGTCTTTCTATTCTTCCTAGGTTCCCTCTCTTATGTTTACTTCCCCTTAAATAACTGTATCCCCCCAAATCCATCTGTGGCCTTGTACTCTTTTTTCACACAATCTCTTTGGAGGAGCTCATTAATTCTGAAAGTTTACACTACCGTCTATATGCTAATTGTATCTATATTTATCTTCCAACCCTACGTCCTCCTCTGAGCTTTAGACTCATATATCCAGCTGTCCTTATGAAATATCCACCCAGCTTCTCTGTGGACACTTCAAATTCAATGTGCCCCAAACTGAAATCATTATTTCCCTCACAGATAGGATGTTTTCCCCACTCTCCTAAATTCTCAATATCAGTTGATGGCTCAGCTAACCAACTAGTCATGAAGTCATAAATATGGGAGTTCCCTCTCTTTTCCCCTTGCCTTCCTACCTCCATCCAGTCCTCCTGATTTATCCCCTAAGTATTTCTTGAACCTGCCCTTTCCTTTTGATCCCAGCACTACCAGTGCTCTGATTTAAGCACTCATCCTCTCATCTGGATTAATCTCACAGTCTCTGAACTAATCTCCTCATTTTTAATATTATATAGTATCTTTTAAAAACCAGAGAGATGGTTCTAAAAGAAAAGCTGGCCATTCTATCCATATGCCTGAAAACTTCATTAGTATTCTATTGTCTTAAAAATAAAATTCCAAGCTTCATAGTACACTATACAAGGTTCTCCATAACCTTGAACTTACAAATTCTACAGCCCTCTCATTCATTCATACAGTCAGTCAAATAATATTTATTGAGTGCCTGCCATGTGGCAGGTGCTATTGCAGGTACTGAGGATAAACAGTGAACAAAAGAGGTGGTAAACAAGAAATATAAGTAAATTATAAAGTATTTCAGACAGTAGATAGTGCCAAGAAGAAAACTAAAGCATGGAAGAGGGCAAGGAAATGTGTAGTAGCGGGTAGAGGATTGCAATTTTAATTACAAAGACATTCAAGCAAAACTTAAAGGAAGTAAAAGATCAAGATATATATAAAGAAAACAATCTGTTTTTCTTCATAGAGCACAAAGACCCTATGGCAGAAGTATGCCCAGCATATCCAGCGAACAGCAAGCAGGTGCGATATCTAAAGCAGAATGAGCAAAGAAGAGGACAGTTGGTTAATTAAAAGGGTACAGTAGCACCTTAAAGGACACTGTGAGGAGTTACTATGAGAAGAAAAGCCATTGCAGGGATTTAGGGATGGAGCCAATATGATCTGACTTCAATTTCAATAGGATCACTCTGGCTACTATATCAAGATTATAGTGGGAAAGGCAAGTACAGAAACAGTGAAGTAAGTTAAGAGGTTACTGTGAGAAGGAAGCAAAATATGGTAACAGGTGGAACCAGAGTAAGAGCAGAGAAGCTGCATATGGAATGCAGTGCTTTCATGAAGAGCTGGCAGATTGGCTAGTATCCTGGATGTGGGATGTGGGAGAAAGTGGAGAATAGAGGCTGATGCTGTTTTCAGGCATGAGAAACAGAAAGAAGGGAGTTGCCATTTTTTGAGATGAGAGAAATTAGGAGAGGAACAAATAAGTAAGAGATAAAAATCACGTTTGGTATAGATCAAGGGTCAGAACCTTTTCCTGCAAAGGGCCAGACAGTAAATACTTAGCCTTTGGTCTGCATCACAGCTACACAACTCTTATCACTATAATGCAATACATAAATAAATGAGTCTGTCTGTGTTTCAATAAAACTTTATTTATGGATACTGAAAGTTAATTTTCACATCACTAAATATTGTTCTCTGTTGATCATTTCCAACCATTTCAAAATGCAAAAAGCATTCTTTGTTCACAGCTCATACAGGCTGGATTCTGTCAGTTGACCCCTGGTATAGAACACATTTAGTTTTCAGCAATATACTCTATGTCTTATAACATTTAATTCAGGGCTTTTTCTGTGATATCGCAATTATTCATGTGACATGGAGGAGGGCATATTTTCATGTTGTCATGGCCGTTCACATGACCAGCTCAGATTTTGACATGAATTACTCAGCAAGTTAAATAGTGATCTTTTAGGAGTGTTCACTCCATAAAATAGAAAGTTCTATAACACACAACAAAATATTATCAAATTTACCAATACATGATATACACAGCTTCTCAGAAAGATGCCCATGCAGAAACAGAGTAATACCTTAAAGATACACAGAACCTTCATGGGAAAGTTAGAAACAAACAAATTTATTAGCACTAGATAAATATAAAAGCTCAAGATTAATTATTGTCAGGGGAGGAAGAAAACTGAAAAAAAATAAAATGTGCTTGTGAAATTGACAGAATGCTTTTTTAGAAAAAATAATTGGTCTTCTCCAGGGAGTTTCAAATGTTCACATTTGAAGCTTAAGCTTTTTTACTTTAATAGACTCACTTAAAAAGAAAAGAGTCAGCACCTGGAAAAAAATATTCTAACAGCAAAGATATGTACTTAGAAAAAAAACCTAAACATTTTTAACAGAAGGGACAGGATGAATAATTCCTCACACACTTGGTCAAATACCAGGAGATTTCTTGAGTCAAAACCCTCAAGGCAGCACAATAACACAATCAGAACAAAGAATGTTTTCAGAAAATCATCTTTAAGAAGTCGATCCTAAATAGGATAAGTAATTTGGAAATTTTAAAAAATAGTTTAATAAATTGGCCACAAAAGCCAAAAAAGAAAGTTGATCCTGACTTTCAATCCATTCAATGGCTTGTAAATGCTGGGGTTAGTATCAGTAGCTTTGGCAACTGTCAGACCCAGAAAAAATCTCTGGGCAGCAGTTGGTTTCTGAATTGCATAATCATGGTTAAATTGCTTAAAATCTCTAGGTTTCACTTAGCTCATCTGTAAAGTGGGGATAAAGATATCTACCCTACATAACAGTGAATGGAATGTTATTTGTAAAACTTTTAACTAAGTGTCTGCTCCAGAGTACTAAACGCTCAATAAACAGAAATTAAGATATTCTTAAATACAATACACAAAATGTCTCTCCCACATTTCATAAAGCTTCCAATTAGTTCAGGATAAATGTCAAAACTAGATGGCTGAAAAGATGCAAAACCCCTACTTTTCACTGACTTTACCAATACATTTAGGACATATTTAGCATATCATACCTTCTCAAAGGCACACTGAGGGTTTTTGCAAACAGCAGGTTTGCAGATAACAATATCACCATGGCAACGGCAGTTCTGGCATGAATCAGGCTTCCAAATTGTGGCGTCCTGCAAAGAAGCATAAGCTCTGAGTTAAAAACTGATCAGTCAAGGTGTGAGCACACGAAGGCTGCACCATCAACAGCCCCAGAGCCTGAACAATTAAAAGGCAAAGGAAAAGTCACAGGCACACATAGTGCTTGCTGGGCACTGATTAAACCTCCAGAGGCAGTGAAAGCAGTATAATCCATTTAACCACAGTCAACCCACGTAGCCAAAGACAAGGGCATGCAGCAGAGAGCTGTCAATACCCAGAGTAAAAACCATCGATTGACCTGAAACGTCAGGCGGACAAGCTGCTCTCTGACTTGAAGTTTCTTGTTTAAGCAGCAGAAATCATCAGAGCCTGTTTAAAGGAAAATGACACTTGGGCTGGCACTAACCAGCATTTCCCAGCCCTTTGCTACTACATACTTTAATGCTCATCAGAAACAAGAAGGGCTTGAGTAAGTAGTTCAAAATTTTTAAGGCAGTTCAGCCAACACACTAATAGGGGAACTCAGAGATGCAATATGGCTCCAGCAGCAAAGGCATCTGGGAAATGTTGGACTCTGTTTAACTCTCTGTGACTGCTTAACTCTCCGTAGCCTCAGGCTTGGCTGACTACCCAGAAAACCAGAATGCTGCCCAAAGATAACCATCTTGCCCCAGGAAGGAGGTTAATGAATGTATATAGTGTGATAACTGCCTGATGTTATTTGTTAACTTAGACATGCGTTGTCCTTTCTGATGGTCTATGTGACTGCCCACCCTTTGGATTTAGTATTACCCCCTATAACATGGATCCTGTCCTGGGAGGGGTATGGATTTTTCCTGGCCTGCCACCACTGGGAACAGCTGCTTTGCCTGTGTATGTAAGTTTCTCCTATTAAAGCTCTTACAAATTTGAATAAGGCCACATGTCGGTTTTTCAGAACTGATCCTGCATTTAGACTTTTGAGGCTTTTCCCCAACAACATTGAGTGACTATTTTGTGTCCGGCTGCATGCTAGGCATATGGGAGTACAAATAAAGCATGATCCATAAGGATCTCACAACTTATTTTGGATTAGGATCATGAGAGTATTAAGTAAATATAAATTGATGACACTGTATTAGTTCTCAACAAACTGGATAAGAAGGTAATGGTCATAACAGAAAAGTGAAACTGGGCTCAGTGTAAAAACATCTCAGAAACGTCCTTCTTATTTCCCACCATCCATCAGGCTGAATCCATATTTCAATTGTGCCCCTTCTGAAGCACCTTTGAACCCAACTACCACCGAGAACCCACAGAGGCCAGTTTCTATCCTTTGCAAGGCTGCAATGATCGCTTCAAATTGAAGCAGTGAAGATACCGTAGACCGTAGTGAAATATATTTTCCCAGAGGTCTCCTAACTTAAATCCTATATTATAGGGGTTGAAAACGGCTATCCTGTTTGGCTGCGTTTTAAATACTTAACCTCTTTTAAGAATGCTGTTCATATTATCCTCTGGTTTAAAGCTATGATGTGGCTCATCTTTACCTCTGATGGGATAAAGTGTAGGTGTCATAATCAGGCACTCGCCTTTCTCCCTGGTCTTGGCAAATCTCAGAGTCCTGAGACTTGCATCGATCCTCTCAAGTTGGTCAAGCCATTGGACAGTCCCAGCCTCCCTTATCTGGTCTCACACATTACCCTCTCCCAGGGATCCCCACTCCTTCCCTTCCCAGAGACAGTCTGCAAACCAACATTCTTCCTTTAAGCCTCCACCTCAAGGATAAATATTACCTAACCCTTAACCCCGCACACCCACACTTGGGTGTGGCTCTTCGCTGATACTCTATGACCCCACCGTTTCCTGCATTTGTTTACATTCCTATTAGCTTGCTAGAGCAGAATGGAAGCCCATCAAAGCAGGCACTGTCCTTGGCTGTGACTGCAGATCCCTCATAAACCAAGGTTTGTAACAGGGTTCAGAACTCGGGGTGCCTGAAAATCTCGGAAAAACCCCCACTAACCTGGCTTGGAGGATGGAGAAGCACAGGATGGTCACTGAGAGTTACTTTGCATTACTATGACAACTTGGCTAGCTTCATGGTTATATTAAATAGCAGTGCCTGCCACTGTGGCAAGGAAGATGGGCGTAACTTTCTGAATGTATCCTGGCTTGTGACTTACCTGGGAGTTTACAGTGCATGCATTAGGCCGGGAGGCAGTGCCCTGGTTACAGCGCCAGCATGAGAAGCAGGGAGGCAGTTCCCCTTTGTTACAAGGAGATGCTTGCCAGGCCTGGGAATGGCAGCTGAATGAATGTAAGATACTGGAGGACTGGCAGACTGTAGCCCATTGTGGGACGAGTCAGAAATGGGGTCGTGCTGGAAGCTCTGGGCCGGGATTTAAACTAGGCACGGCAGCCATTGCTCTCTTGGCCATGTGGGTTGAAAAGGTACAGAAGGACCGCCATCAGCCCTCCGTGACGAGGTGCCACGTGGTTTTGGAATAAGAGCTGAAGAACAGGGTGACATGGTTGATGGTGCTGGGGATTGCAGGACTCGTCCGGCCAAACACAGATTAATGGGAGATGTCTGAGAGGCAGAGCTATGACCTGGGATGGGAAGCCACAGACTTCTGGGTGTTTTTTCCTGAAAGGTGGTACCTCTGACTGGCATATTCTGAAACTGGCCTGATGTTGCAAAAGGGAGGCAGGAATGAGTGAGTGTGTGTGTGTGTGTGCGCGCGCGCACGCACGCGAGTATGTGTGTGTGTTAAAGAGAGTGGGACTTAATGGCAGAATTCCATCAGTATTCTAAATCTGTATAACTTTTAAATAAACAGTTCCTTTACTTTTTGCCAAACTCCGGCACTGGGAGTCTTGGTGGTGGGCAATCCGGCCCACATGTCTGTTTCGGAGTTGCATAGGCTGGGATTCTGTAGCAGGTTCACAGTTCATAAGCAGCTTAGTAAAGACATTTCTTTCTAAAAATTCTCATCCTTTTTTTTTTCCTCAGTCAACCAAGTGAAGTGCTATTAAAATACTTTGGGGCAGAGTAAGAGCAGTGCCCAATTTCCTGATAGAGTCATCAGAACACCAGCATTCGATTTGAACTAGATGAGCTGGAAAACAGGCAGATGCTAGCAACACTTTCACACCAAAAGGCGGAAATCCAATGTAATGGTTATTATTATGTGTCAGCATGTGGCTAGGATATGGTGCCTCGTTGTCTGCTCAAACACCAGCCTAGGTGTTGCTGTGAAGATATTTTATAGATGTGATTAACACTTACAATCACTTGATTAAATAAGTAAAAGAGATTACCCTCGATAATGCGGGTGAGCCTAATCCAATCAGTTGAAGGTTTTTAGAGTAAAAACTGAGGTTTCCTGGAGAGGAAGGAATTCAGCCTCAAAACTGTAACACAAAAATTCTGCTGGAATTTCTATACTACTAATCTGCCTTACAAATTTCAAAATTTCAGCTTCATCTCTTGAATTTTCAACATGCCAGCCTGCCCTACAAACTTGGAATTTGCTGGCTGCCACAACTGCACAAGCCAACTCCTTAAAAATAACGTCTCCTATTGGTTCTGTTTCTCTGAGGGACCATGTCCAATATACCAACACTGTACTGATTTACAGGGATGTGCACAACACTCCCAAGCAAAAATGAAGTCATCCTTTCAGGGTTGAGAAATGTTAAATGCATATATAATCTCTTTGGGACTGTGCCTCAAAACCAAAGTCATTTAAGAAATATAAAATACATCTGAGGTGAGATTGCATTTCCAGTAGCCAATTCACAAAAAAATCAGAGTCACAGCAAATGAGTACCAGAAGCTGACTTGGAAAAGCTCTGAATTTCTTTTTCTTTATTGTTATAGTGCATTCCTTTGAAATTGGCAATAGTGTGCCAACAATGTCTACTCAACCAAACAGTGATGACAAGTAGGTGAGAAAAAACAAATTCCATTCCCAAGCACAATGTAATATGTTTCCTACTGATTTCAAGAAAACAACATTAGTTTCAGGATACAGATTAAATAAAAATGACAACTTCACAAAGCCAGCAGCTACCATTTATTGGTCATTATCTCAAGCCTGACTCTTGAAGCAGAGAACACTGATGATAGGAGGCCTTTGTGGTACTGGAGGAGGGTGGCCTGGTTTGCTTTCTCAAGCTCTGCCATCATCCTAGAGAGCTGAACCCAGCAGAAGGGGATGTAAGCGCACATTATGCTGTTTTGCAAAGCACTTACCTGCATGACAACCATATGGAGTTGACACTATCCTTAGTATAACTATTCCCATTTTACTGATGAGGATTCGATAAAGAGATGGAGCAATTTGCCCAAGTTCACAAAGCTCTATGAGATCTAAGAACTCAGGCTGCCTGTCCTGTGCTTGAATTCTGGTCACCATTTATTAATGATGAGTCCCTTATCAAGTTAAGGTGTCTGTGTTCCAGGATCCTCAGTTGTAGGGACGATAAAGTGCTTAATTCATAGAGTTAGTGAAAGAATGAAATGAGATGATGTATTTAAAGAGATCTGAAAAGTACCTGGAAATTACTAAGGGTCTATTCAATGTAATTTATTTTTTAATCCAAATGCTTTCTATGATGTCACAGGCATTTAACAATTATTGTAAACATTTCCTTTTCTCAGAGTGAAAATAGTCCATACACACCTTGAGTTTTGCATCTTCCTCGTCCAGACTACACAGGTGAAACAAAGTGAAATTATTACTGAATTGGGGCCCTAGCACTGAAAAGATCCAGGGCCTTGCAGTAGAAGGGAGGAATGAAGCCCTACGAGGAGACGGCATTTGCATGACTGCTGAGGTAACTGGGAAAGCCTCTGTCTCGCTAAGCTGATGTAACCATGAATCCATGTCTTCACTCAGGCACCGGGTGGCTCTACCAGCTCCTCGTACTCCCTTCAGGTCAGTATGGCTCTTAGGCGCCAGTCATGTTTACTATCTAGAAGGCAGCATTCTCCCACTGGGCATCAGGTTCTTCTCTGCACCTCAGTTATTTCCTCAGTGACCCC